TATATTAAATAAACATAAAATAATAATTATCTATACCATTTTCTGACATATTTACTGTTATTTACCTCCTCCCTGTGTATTGCCCTCTTCACCCCTCCCCCACTAATACACCCCATCTTTCCTATTTCCTTTTCATAGCATCTATGTCCTGCTATTTTTTTCTGTAGAGATCCTTCTTGTTAACTTCTCCATTGATATTTTTGAAAGTTTGTGGGTGCTAAGTTCTTAAAATATCACTAAAGCAGTGCATAAACAGCTTAAAATACAAATAGAACAGAAGATATAAACTCAAGTTGGTCTTATTCTTTTTTCCTTCATCCCGTCTCCCAAGAGAAGCACATTTTGGTGAATTCCTCAATATAGCGCCTGTCAGAGTGAGCACGATTGTGGTTCATAGTCACCACAAATGGGTAGGCCTGTTGAGGACTCTGTCCCTTGGAACACTTCATAGCATCTCCCCGTGTCTATGAGAATCACTAAACACATGATTTGTAAATTTATATTTATACATATACATACACAAATACACACACATGTGTCACATAAAACTTTGTGTGCCACTTATATCTGCTTTTATATTGAACAGAATCACTATGTACAAATGGGTGTGTATGAATATATGTCACTTTTTCAGTCACTCGGGGTCCCATCCTTGAGTTGATTTTATACTTGCTGGGTAGCTGAGGATGACATTGAACTTCTGATGCCCTGCCATACCTCACCAGGCTTGGATTAGTCAATGCCTAGCCTCCTGCTTTCTGGGCAAGCACTCTAGTGAGCCACATCCTCAGAATCTCTCCATCTGTTTTTCTCTGCATTTGAGTTCCCTCCTTTCTATCTAAGCATAATGGGATTACTTTCCACTACTAATTCGACCAATCTAAATCCAGATCTATCTCCTCCCTTCTCCATTTATATTTTTAGGCTAGTTTTCCAGGGCTGTTAAAGAAAAATACTGTTAAATGTAGCACGAATTCTAATGGTTCTTAATAAAAACCCAGGGTCAGATACCAGGGGGTGAAAGCTGAGAGATCAGAAAAGAAATGCAGCCAGCCACTAGAGAAAGAGACCTTTTATCTCTACCAAATCCTCAGACCGAAAGGGTGATCCTGTTCTCTGCCTGCCACCTAAAACTGCATCCTCAGACTGCATCCTCAGACTCAATGATTCAGACTCCACTGAGCTCCTCTCTACTCAGCTCTGTATTCCTCTGTTCACCCAGCCATATCACTCCTGTCTCCACCTCCCTAGTACTGGGATTAAAGGTGTGGGATCCCAAGTGCTGGTTTCACTTTTGTGTGAGCTCTGTTTCTCTTTCAGAAAGATCCAGTCTCAGGGAGCCCAGAACAGAGATCCCTCTGTCTCTGCCTCCCAAATCCTGTGATTAAGGGTGTACACCTGACCCCTAGTGACTTAGCTCTGCATTCTCATCTTCAGACAACCTTTATTTGTCAAAACACAAGCCAAATATTACTACAGTTGAGCTTATTAAACAACAGAAGTGCATCACCCCCCTGCCTTGATGGCTTATGATTAGGGCTAGGCTCCTTTAGAACACGGAGGCCAAGGTTTATTCAACGCTCTCTCCAACTTTTCAGTTCTTTAATACACAGTAGCACAAGTCCAGTTATCACATGGAACCTACCCTGCGGGTGCATTTATGTCCAGATTTTCCCTTTAAAGGGACACTAGTCATATCTACTAGGGAATCACAAGGTACTAGTATGATTTTATATTAATTCACATCTAAAACTATTCTATTTAAAATAAGTTTACTTTATAAAATAGTGGCTGTTAAAACTTTAACAAAAACAAGGTTTTTTTTTTTTTAAGAATATAATCCAGCACATGACAATTTCTGCCCCTTTATCTCTGCCACTCTTCCCATTTCTTCCTCCTGGAGTGTCCTGTTGGGCTCTTTACCTATGTCTCTTTCTCAAGGACTTCAACTCTCATAACCCCAGAAAGCTAACTTTTAATAGCTTGATACCTTTTCATTTTGTCCCTTCTCCTTGACAGCAAGATCCTTGAAAACAGAATCAGAGAGAGATAGGAAATATTCTCTATTGCCTAGTGGAGTGTTTGACTCCAAATAACCACCAATGACAGGTAAGTAATGAGTAGCAGAGGCTTCCTCATGATTCACAACATTGCCAGGAAGGAAGAGCATACTTGAATGCAGTTCCCCCTGCCATAATCTAGCTGATGTTTAGATAGCCAAGATTTAAATCCCTCACCTTACCAAGACTATTGATAACACTAATAGCTAAATTTATTAAAGACCCACTATAGGCCGGACAATACTCTGCATTCTTCATATACCCAGATTTAATCACCACCACGACCCTGAAAGACAGCATAGTTATCACCAGCTTTTATCTGATGAAGGGATTCCAAACAAGATTAAATACCTTATTCAAGGTTCTGTACCAAAACCAAATATGGTGGCTGGCAAGTGCCTTTAATCCCAGCACTCTGGAAGCAGAGGCAGGAAGATCTCAGAGTTTGAGGCCAGTCTGATTATAGAGCTAGTTCCATGATAGCCAAGGCTACACAGAGAAATTCTATGTCAAAAAAAAAAAAAAAGGAAAAGAAAAAAAAAACAAAATTAAAATGAAACCCTGCAATATCCTATAGCACTTGAAGATTTCTTGGAGATTGTACCTTAGGTTATTTAGCCCCAGGCCCCATGTATTCCAAATTACTACTATAAATTACAAATTGCAGGTACGTTGTTTATGTGTTTATTGGAACATATGTATCATATGTATCATAGGTTGACCTCAAACTTATAATCCCCCTGTCTCAGCATCCCTGGTGTTGGGATTGCAAGCGTGCACCATCACAGCTTGCTCCATTTTAAGAAGCTCCAGGGCATGCTTCAGAATCATGCACTTTATGCTCTGACTAATGGAACCTGGCCCTGAATTATGGGTGACCTCTGGGGGAGGAGCTCTTAATAAAGGAATTTCTTCCTCCTCCTCTCTGCTCCACACTTTCCCCCATTCAAACCAGAAATCACATGAACTCTCCAGGAAGCACCAGCATGTCTCCTAATGCTGAGTCTTTTTAATACAATTATTCATGCTGCCGTGACCTCCAACCAATAAAATTATTTTCATCGCTCCTTCATAACTGTAATTTTGCTACTATTGTGAATCATAATGTAAATATTTGAATTCCCTGATGGTCTTAGATGACCCCTGTGAAAGGGTCATTTGACCCCCAAAGAGTCATGACCCCCAGGTTGAGAACCATTGAGCCAAGAGGGCTCATTGTCTCTGGTCTCTTTGAAACTTGTAAGCCTTTAGACACATCTCTCTTCTACCTGACAAACCCAGACACTCACTCAATGGATAATTCTAACCCAAACTTTGCAGTCCAGAGATAAATGCCACTTGGCTAAAGAGTGCTGTAAATGGTAACAAAATTCTTGATTCTGCCCCTACTTGCAAGAATACTGCAACACAGACGCAGAAGCAACAGGTTGGAGCTGGGCATAGAAATGATGTCAAATTGACTTGGCTGGAAAGCTGTTAATAAGAACCATTTGATGATTATTCCATTAAAGACAGTTTACAATTTTAGACTAACCAAAAGTCGACCTTAGCCAAAAAAAAATGTAGACAGCAAACAGCTTATTAATATCACTTCTAAAAATTGATCTCCATGCTCAAGGTAAATGGATTGCAAGTATTGATTAACACTTTGTAATGAATACCATTCTGTAAGTTTTAATTAACCACTAGGTAATATTTAATGGAAATGATATAATGTAATACATGTGAGTTTGATAAACGGTGTGGTAAAAGGATTCTGTCCCTGAATCTCATGTGGTAAAAAATAATTGCCAAGAGTGACCACTTTCCTAGTATGTGTTCCTCTTTGGCAATTCTTTCTTATTTATGTCCCAAAGCACAAAGTGATAGTGTTGTGTGAATTCTCCTGGCCTAGAAATGCGCTAAAGTATAATATAAGGATGATGTATTTGTCACCACTTAAAACTGATTGGTCGTGACCAAGAAAAAAGTACATAAGTAAGAAAATTTGTAGAACTGGAAAAAAATTCACCCACATGCACATATTTTTTTAAGTAATAGCAATGTTAAATAATACTAGCTTGTCATAAATGAGGGGACATTTATATTTAGTGGTCGAGCATTAAATACTATATTTATATTTAGTGGTGAACATTAAATACTGTACTTATATTTGTATTTAGTGGTAGAGCATTAAATACTGTAGGCAATGCACCGGCATGGAGCAAGCAAGCAGGATGGAGAGAGAATAAAGATGCCGTCTTTCCACACAGGACTATCAGAAGTGCTGTGTGTGCTGTTGGAAGAGCCCAGAATTTAAATGAACCATTTGTGCTCTGCTGCCCTAGGGCAAGTACAAGCCACATTAATAATGCAGTGTTTATATGAAATATTTTATTATAATATACATTTATCACTAAAAAAATCTAAACAGCAGAAAAAAAAGGCCAGTTTTGTACTGGTTCAGCATTCTAGACAAGTTCCTTTTGAAATCGAATTCTTGGCAAATCATATCATCGCTTTCAATAGCTCACCTGTGACACTGTAAATAATACATATTCGTTTGAGGTGTGGTGTTGTACGCTGTACTTCTGTTGTACATAATTTATAGGCAATGATCTAGCAACACAGGAAAGCGACTGGAAGCGAGTGATTAGAAGTGGAAAATGATGGAGAACTCTGAGAGCTCAATGGAAGATAAACTATCTTCCCAAGTCACAACATGTTTTCTTAGTTATAATCGTCAGCTTACCTCCTACTACAGGTACGAGACAGTTATTACTGAAGATGGTCATGAATAAAATTATTTCACATGTTAACTATACATTAAATAAAGACAGAATTATCAGGGGGCCTTGAACACTAGCCTCAGCAGCCCTACCAGGTCCAGCTAAGAGTTGCCATAGCAGGAGAAAACCTGGCTAATCGGATCTGAGAGTAAAATGAAATAAGTCAACTTACCTGTGTTACTGCTACATGTTCTTTAATCCTTTGGACAAAGAGGCAGAGAGTAGGAGAAAGGGGAAAAGGGGGACGATCTCCACTAGGTTTTTGTTTTACAGCCGTGGTTGGGAAATTCCATAGGCAAAACAATGATCTCACATGCATTTAGAATCATTAAAAGGGGCAGTGTGAACCTGACAAAGCAGCACTCCAGGACAGGTGAAGCCACCTAGGAAAGAGTCAGCACCCAAGAGAAATACCTGACATTCCAAACCATTAGATAAAGTTGCTAAATGTCCCTGAACCTGGACTAACCCCCACCCAGACCTGTCTGTCTGGTAAGGGCAGTGTCTTCCTATCCTTTTGAAATTCTCACATGGTCTGTTAGCAAGTGATTTGGGGGGGGGGGATTAAATATGTACTTTGACTGTTAGAACAAAGAGTGAATGTTTTGCTCTAAGGCTCAGAATGGAAAGGTCATTCCATTGCCCTTACAGCAGAAGATGCACTGCTGAGGTGTTTTGGGAATGATCCCATTTTGAAGGAAAAATCATGGCTTCCCTACGTTTTTACCGACTTGACAGTGACTTTTCTAAAAGACAGGTGTTTTCGTAGCTCTGCAAAACACGTTACTCCATGTGGATGTGGAAGTGTACACTTCCAGTGGATTATTCTGATAGATCTGTCAACAGTACATCTACTGTATAATACTTGTGGGCTCCAGCAGAGAATTCCACTGTAATTATCATACACAAGCTATATGGGCTAACAAGCACAAAACACTGAAGACAGTTTAACCTCATTGGGAGCGTCCTCCAGTAATTCACAAAGCATCATCTTGGGTGTAAACAGGCTTAAATAACTCCTGTCTTACCTGCTTATTACATGTATGAAAAGAGCAGGCCTCCCAGGGATATCAACCAATCAAAGCATAACAAGTTACAATAGGGCCAGGTACAAATCCTCACGGCAACCCAGTAGGAGGAAAAGGGTCCCAAGAGCAGACAAAAGAGTCAGAAACATTTCCCACTTATCAGAGACACTCCTACTCTAAATGCTAAGCATTATTTGAACAGCAAGTTTACTTCATGCTGGATTTCTCTCTCTCTCTCTCTCTCTTTCTTTCTTTCTTCCTTTCTTTCTTCCTTCCTTTCTCCCCCCCCCTTCTTTCTTTCTTTGATGTATAAGAATGCTCTATCTGCATGTACAACTTTATGTAAGAGAGGGTATCAGGTCCCACTATAAATGACTGTAAGTTATCATATAATTACGGAATTTGAACTCAGGACCTATGGGAGAACAGACAGGGCTCTTTACCTCTGAGCCATCTCTCAGCCCTCATGCTATTTCTTAATGTGAACATTTCTTGTAAGTTCATTGAATTCAAAATCTCCCGGCTACTATGACTTCCCTAGGGTACATTTTGCCTGGTGAGATGGTGGGTGGGCACAGGGGAATGACAAATGTGCCAGCATTAGAGTTATAGCAGAGAGACTGCTGGATAACATATGAGTGCCTTCTAGTGGAATTGATTTCTCACCTGATTGCCTTCAGGCTGGTGCATTAGCCATAGCTGGGCTATGAGGCACTTCCACACAGAACCATATAGAAACTTCACAATGACAAAATGTTATTAATGTGTCTAGTGCAAGTTCTCAATAAAATGTTCCTAAGTCACCTATGTAAAACATGTCTTCATAGGCTTGGAAACTCTGAGCTAACAATCATCTTCTTTCTGTTTTATTTGGCACTTGCTAATCGTACAAACTAATCGGTTCTATTTTGACATTTCATACACACATCTAATATGCTTTAATCATCTTCTATCTCTTGTTACCCCCTCCTACTCTCCATCCTACCATTCATCTTCCTGTATTACAAAGCATGCCTGCGTTCATATATTATCGCCATTGTATCATCTTCTTTATTATTATTTTTCTTATAAATACAAATAAATCTATAAATAGAACCTGATAATTTAGTGCTTCTCATATTTTTTATGTTTTTAGGACTAACTACCCTGTATTAGATAACCAATTACACAACTCATCCTTGGGGAAGACTGATTCTCTCTCTCTCAGTAGCCATAACTGCCTGTAGCTCCTCACCAAAGAGTGATGCATTATTAAAGGTCCCCCTGATATTGTCAAGTCAATTGGTATTGTCATTGTATAAGTCTTGTTTATGATCCACATCATACTGTTAAGATATAATGAGCTCATCCTCCCTTTATGTAGAGAAGTCATGGTTTCTCAGTGGAAATTTTGGTCCTCTGGCTCTTACAATTTTTCCAGTCCATCCTCATGAAGTGGAATGGGAGGATTTAATTGTAGAGTTATCAGTTGGGGCTGGGATCACCAAAGTCAATTATTCTTTGTATTTTAATCAGCTGTGAAATTTTATAATGTTCTCTATCTGCAGCAAAAAAGCTTCTTTAACAAGAGGTGGGAAATACACATATCTGTGGGTATAGGAACACATATTTAGGATGGAGTTAAAATTATACTGGTTTAGGGAAGCGGCAGTAGTAGGTTCCCCTCTATGTTCAATGGTGGCATCTGTCATGGGTAGTTGACTAAGTTTATAGTACCAGGCATGATTTTTCTCATATTGAGAGGACCTTAAGTCCAACAGAATCCTGTTGGTTACCACCAATATATGAATGTAACTATCGGGCCCCTGGCATATTTTCTCATGCTGATCAAAGGGCAGCCGGTTATCTCAGTTAGCTGAAGAACAGTGCTAATAACAACCCACTCTGTTTTATGAGGGTCTTCTCAGAACTCTTGTTATTTTGCTGTGCACTGTGAAATTCCAAGCAAGTAGCATTTCATGGTCCACGTTTCAAAAATTTTACCGCACCATGTTGCCTTTCCTTCTGTCAGATTTTCTATGAAATTTTCCCATGCACAGACTCTTAGAAATGCTGTTTTGGAAAATGAGAGATGAGACCACTGTCGAATGCTTGGACCCCAATTATTCTGAGCATATCGTACTTTCTTTAGGTCAATACCCACACTCTACTAATGTTTAGGACCACATTTGCAGAAATACCATATTTTTAAATTCTGGTTTGCTCTTGTTAAAATATAATCACTAGAAATTTTATAGAAATCTGCAACCAGGGCCCCTCACATTTTTGCATGGTGATCAACTCCTTCCAAATCCAAATTGCTCCCAAGTCCTTTCTCCAAAGTTGAAATGGAAACAGATTCAATATGTTTAATGCTGTGCCATAAATCACTCCAACGCCTGCTTCAGTGCCACAGACACAGAAGGTCCTCAGATTAAATTTATTTGATGATAATGACTTATGGTCCCTAAATACTTCTCTGGTGCCCTACAAACTAAACTCCAAATCCGGGCCTCTGCGTCCTGATGCACTTGCCTGAATCGAGGTTCATTTGAATTGAAATGACTTTCTAGAAATATTATCAAATCAAAGAGCACATAGAATGCCCTTTTGAAATCATAAGATATAAGTCTGGTGCTTTGTGGGGAAGACATAGCTTTTTTAAAGTAATCATTCATATTTTATAACATGAACCATTTCCTTGCAGTTTGGAAAATGAGTTATATTGGAAGAATTGTGGCTTCTAGGTAGTAATAAATATGAATGTTTTATATGGCCTTTTCTATTGCTTCAGAACTTAGCAATATACTTTAAATTTTTTCTCACAAATATGATTTGCAGACTTGTATTATGGGTATTATGATATGTCACAATTTGGGAATAAACATTAATTAGACACAGGCAAGAAGAAATAAAAATATGGTTGAGATTTTAATGTTACAGTCTATTTTAGTATAGTTTTAGCAAGTAAATATTGAGTACTCACCTTAGCAGTTCTTGTGTAGGGGGCTTCAGAAAAAAATATGGCAGAGGCATGCTCCATGTTATCAAAAGCCCATCAAGACAGTTTTTCTCTCATGCAGACTCAGAAGAACAAGCCTGATTTTCATGTATGCACAACATGAATGCACTGTTATTTCAGCATTAGGGCAAAACATTTTTCTCCGAAAGCAATTTTTGCATATAAGTGAGAGTAAAAATAGTGAAGAAATACAGATGAACTGCTTAGAGACAACGACTTCCTGTTCCAAATGGACTGCTCTGATGTGAGTTGGTTTAACTTGAAAAGATTAATAATAAAAATTACTTAGGGAAATATGGAAATATCATAAAGAGAAAATTATCTAGCATCGTAACTCACAAGGGTTAGAGGAAGGGTGTAGTGGAGGGAGAACTTGCTCTCCTGGCATGGGGACTTGAATTCAGACCTTGCATGGCAACACTCTGTAACTCCAGTGCTTGGCAGACACCAGTAAGACAAACAGATCACAGGGCCTTGCTGGCTATCTGTCCTCAAGTAAAAACAGTGATTCTGGGTTTCAAAAGTAAGGTGGATAGCCCTGTGAAATGTTTAAGTATGCAAAGGCACTTGCTGACTAGCCAGACAACCGGAGTTCATCTCCAGGACCCATATGGAAAGGAAAGGAAGGAAGGAAGGAAGGAAGGGAGGGAGGGAGGGAGGGAGGGAGGGAGGGAGGGAGGAGGGAGGGAGGAAAAAAGTGTTTCTCTGACCTCCACAGGCACACATGCATGCCCACCACACACACACACACACACACACACACAAATACACATACACACATAGAAAAATTTAAATTTGTCATTTACAGACTAATTTTCAATAGTTTCCTAGAAGAACCAAAGTTCTGTCTTCTTCTGGAGAGCTATGTGGGGTTTGTGGCATCATTATCTCTCCCTATAATTTAATTTGGAGCAACCATTATTTGCAGAGTAATTTTCTAGCCTGAAAAATCTTTTTTTTTTAATTTTTTAGGTTGGATTTAAAATTCTACATTAATGCTATTGAAATGAAATGCAAAGTGGCCTAATTTGTAACAGACATGCTATCTATGTATAAACAGATCAACAAAGAACACGGATGATGTGAGATAGAGTTGAGGGCAAAGACTTGGGTAACATGATTACAGGAGTGTATCTGCACTCTGGTTTAGACTTCCTGGCTAAAGGAATGTGGAAAAAGATTTTTGTTTCTTTGTCTTCTTTTCCTTTTCCGTCTCTGCAAAGCGAGACTTGAACC